GACCCGCATTACCCCAAAAAAAAAAAAAAAAAAAAAAAAAAAAAAAAAAAAAAAATGCTCATAATGAAATTTGATGGCAATTTAAATTTTTCATGAATCTAAAAGTTTTTCTAAATTTAGTCTGACTAAATCCTTAGTGAGATCACAAACTCATTTTTATGAAAATACTTCAAATATACCTCAAATGAGTTCACAAATCTCCCAACTAAGAAAATGAAAAATTAAATTGTAGTTTTCCCCACCTCTTGCCTCACAAGCACAAGGGCCCATGTTTGATCCCTGGTACCAAAAACCAAACCAAAACAAATAAATTGTAGTTTCCTAAGTAGCTTTGCATTGTACAATGTCCACAAAAACATGAAGATCTTTCTGAGACTGATTCAGGCACATTTATCTACAAATTTTTAGTACTCTCAAATGTTCATATTTTCACTGGAGATTATTTACTATGTCTGAAATCTTAGTGCTTGATGTCTTAATGAGAAAAATAATACAAAAAAATTCATTGTGCAGCCAACAAAAATTCATATGATCAACAAAACAAAGGAATGTTTTCAGATTCTGGCTTTGGTTATTTTTGTTTCTGATGGGACAGATTTGCTGAACAAAACTTATAAGCTCCTTCCTTCTCTCCACCTTTCACTGACTTCACTCAAAACATACCCCCCAGCCCTTTACCACAAGGTCCCATTTGACTGTTAACACACACATCGGCTGTAAGTCACCAAGTTTTTTTTTTAAGGGTAATAGACTCTATTATTGACTACACCTTTATTCTCAGTGTACATTTCATTACAAGTAATAGTACTGAACTTTTCAATGCTTACAGTGTTCCCTAGGAGTATATCAGGTGAGCAGGCGGAAAAACATATCTGGAAGTTTATTATTTTTTCCACTAATGTACTTGACACCACCTCTGGAGAGGAAACAAAAGGCATACTGTCAAGCAGATAGACCTGGACAGAATGTTACTGTTTGTTCCTTACAAGCACAGAGGTATATTTAAGCTAAGAAAGGCATTCCGTGGTTCTCTTGGGACTTCCTTCCTCCAGCTGAATTATACCAACATGTTCACACCAGTGTGGTTCAGACTGTGTTGAAATTTAAAATGCAGACTTCGATTTGCCAGTGTTTAAATGCCACAGCTATAAAAATTCATATTAGAATCAAACCTGGCTCTAAAGTATCATGAAACAAATAGAAGAAAAGGTGTATATACATGAAATTACAGTACAAGACATGGAAATAAGGAATGTTCTTGTTTGATAGGTCTACTCATACAACAAAACCTCAAAGGCAGCAGAAGTCACCTGGCTTTGGATTATGTTTCAAATCCAAGCTCACTGACATTCATGAAGCTTTTGGCAAACATGGGGCAAGTTTCGAGCAAGGCTGGGTAGAATGCTTCTTTCATGTGAAGCCTGTGTGAAATTCAGTGGCTTTGGCGAAGTTTCACCTTGAATTTCACATTCCAACAAGCCAAAGTTTCAAGGTAAAATTAAGGGACAAAAGGAAACAGGATAGGAGGTAGGCAACAAAATAGGACAAATGGGAATGGATGGCTGTCTCCCATCTTCCAAACGGATTTCATCCTGAGGCCGTTCGATTTTGCACTTTAACTTTACCGGCTTCAGTAACACATTTGCGTTCAGCAGAGCCGGGCCAAGCCTTCCCAGTTCTTAGGGGAGAATGTTCTTGACCCTGCAGATTCCAGATGAGGCAGTGAACCATTTGCTTCAAACAGGGGTGGGGTGGAGTGCGGTGGAGGGGTGGGTGAAAATATTAACTCTATACAGAAATTTGAGGATTAAAATGCTCCTTACTATGCAGATTTGAAGGGAAGGAAAAACAGCAATTGCATGTACAGGTTTTGGAAATAAAACTTAGAATGAACATCTCTAGAACTTCCTACTATTAACCCAAATTCCAGAGGTCACATTGCACTCGCTTTTAATGTTGCAGCTCCACAGCTGCACAGCTCCACCCCTTTGAAGCCTGGTCCTATGGCCACTTGCTCCCTTCCTACTTAGCAAGGTGCAGGATACAGGAGCAGAATGTCAACCCCTTAGAGCCACAGTCTGGGATTTAAGAGTCTCTCGACAGGATTGGGCTCCTGTGATTCCTAACAGAAAATCTGGCCAGGAACTGTCGAACTCAGTGTCTTGCCTGAGGATTTGAAAATACTCTGATTTTGGGGCAGGAAAGAAAAGAGTAGCAAACAAAGTAACACACACAGAAGCTTTCTTTGAAATTATAAAAATATTTGACGGTTGACGGGATGACTAGTAAGTACTACAATTCACTCATAAAGGGAAATACTTATTTTTTTAGCCCTTATGCTGAAATTTTGGCTACTGAGGATTTTCTTCTCATTTTTTAAAAAACCTTTCCTTCTTTCAAATTTTTTTCCTTTCTTCTTTCCTCCATTTGTTTTGTTATTCAAAGGATCACTATGTATTTAAATGAATGTTTTCTTTTGAAATGTGGTCTGTGCTTCCAATAAACTTCTCGGGAAAAAAAAGTCTTAAAACTCCGAAGGCTTTAATGCTTGTGTTAAAAACCAAAAAAAAAAAGAACAGTTGGGCCTTAAGGCACAAGGTGATTTTGAGGAAGCCAGACCCTCTAGTGAGGGGTTGCTAGGATTGAGCTCTGTGCTGTCACTTACTCTTGCTTTTAGACATCTGCTAGAAGGAACAGCAAGTTGTCATAATGTCTACTTGGTAAAAGAACTTTGCCAGAAATCCTTTTCTTTTAGTTAGGAGTTCCTATAGAAAAAAACTTCTAAGACATACGAGAGAGAAAAACCAAAGCTCCAATAACTTATTTGAAGGAAATGCTATCAAAGCATTAAGCAACAACAAAAAAAGACGTTTTAATGAACATGGTAAATACTAGTCACAATCAAAGTAAATGCTGTGTTTGAAGTTAAAGTCCACAGATCAAAGTACTTTTGAAAATGTCAAGTGCAGGCATAGAGGGGCAGTCTAAATAGCTTTTTTTTTGGTCATATTAGAGAAAACTGCCAGCAACCGTATCTACCAAAGAATGAGTTTTGCTAATTCAGCTTAGGTGAAATATTCTCAGAAGTAAATCATGTAAATTGTTCTACAAATTTACAGAAGCAAAAACAAAATCCCCTCACAAACCGACTATCTTGACTGTATATTAGCAGTAAACAAATCATAGATGAAAGGGAAAGATAATAAAATATAGATAACTCATTAGGAGCAATTACTAATGTAGTTTTTTATTCAGGTGGTCGCATTTTTTCCCTTTTTGTGAGAATGCCCTTAGAAAGTTAAAAATAGGGAAGCAGTGTAAACAACAAAATTATGATGTCTGAGAGGTCCTCTCCCAGCAGTGGCAATCAAGTCTAATTAGAGTTGTGACCCAGCACTCAACCACCACTGTATGGCAACAAGTACTGCAGACAGCTTTAGGCAAAGTTTAAAATTACAGCCACAAAAATGAACCGATGCTATTACCCTGCCCTGGAATACAGTATTTACCTGGGAATCATTTGAAGCCTCCCTTATTTTAACTGTAAATAAGTTATTTTAAAAACATTGCTCATAAACACACCAGAAAACAAATAATGCTAGAGTACAAATCTTACCTACTGGCAGCTGAGTTCCCAGTTGCTCTATTCAGAGGAAGTAGGAGTCAGTTCCTTTTACATGTAGAGATTGTTTATTTAGCCCTTTTTAAAAGGTCTTGAACTCCAGAGGTTTAAGATTAAGTCCAATCCAAGTGTCTGAAGGAAAAAAAAAAGGGGCAGGAGAGAAGGCAAATAAGAGAGGGAAAGAATCCCAGCTGCTGGGTGGTGCTACTGTCCAGAGAGCATTTGAGCTATTTTCAGCATTAACAGAAGCCGGACTTGTCTGCGAAGGGATGAAAATGCCTTCCCTGAATCACCACCCCCAACCAGGGGAGGTGTGTGTGTGTGGGGTGTGCCACAGACCAGGAAATCCACAACTTGGTTCACTGTGCAAATATTCATTTAAAATACACACACACACACACACACACACACACACACACACACGTGCGCGGCTGGAATCTTAAAGAAATACAATGCAGTGCCAGGCCACAATCCTCAAGTTTTCAAAAGGACTTAGCTAGTCTGCTGAAAATAACATGCTATAGCTTATTGAGAAGGAGGAATTTTCTTCTGTGGGTCTTAAAACAGCATTTTAGAGCTCTCAGGTAGGAATATCTGTTGCTAGCCTATCTGTAAGGCTGAAGACAAATAATTTCTTTCTAGCATGCCCCTAAATTTCCAGTTTCATCAACTATGCTATTTTTGAAAGCTATTGAGTTAAGCTGTTGACATTTCTTATCTGTTGGCAAAGACTGGAGACCATTCAGTGACATGATGCAGATGGACGCTGCTCCCTTTTTTCTGACTCCTTGGACCAATGAATACTTCAGATTGGGTCACCAACAATGACTGGCAAACTTTAAACTTTCATTTTGTTTCTAGAATTAATGGCTAAGATCTATAGGCTGCATTCATTTATCAAATACTTAATGTGGCAAGCGCTTCTCTTGTGCTGGGTGTTCTGAGAAAATAGTGGTGAGCAGAATAAGCAACACCCTTTCCTTTAGGGGCTAACAGCACACTGAGGCAGCAAACGATAAATTAAAAATGGAATTTGTCATATTTTTCTGCCTCATTTTCACATGGAGAGACTGTTTTAATCATAACCACTCAAGACTGAGACCTTTTTCTAGTAAGATTAAAGGAAAGGACCATGCACTTTCATTACTTCATTATTCCCTGTTCTACGCTACTAAGAAGGAAAAGCAGTTACCCTACCAAGAAAACACTTAAGAATTTTCTGAAAGCCTTTATTCTGTGTAGCTGAAAACCTTGAATCTTATACCTGCTCTGCACAACACAGAGAATGCTTAAGCAGCAGAAAAATCCTGCTTATTGAGGAGGCAACAAGATTCTCCAATCTGAATCCAATACTTAACACTCTGGTGTGTTTTATAGTTACTGATGCTCATATCAAACCCAATTCTTTGCTATTAAAGACTCTACAGTTGCTATAGAAAATACTGAAGATTATGTTTGATGCATGTAATGAAAGGGTCATAAGACTATTTTGAGAATTATGTTAAAGAAATATTTCTGCTCAGTATACCTTATATTAATACTATATAGATATTTCAATTAAAAACAGAACTACGACTTAAATTTGAAATCAGAATTTTAAAATAAGATTAATTTTGTTTCAAAATATACACCAGAATTTGAAAAATAACTTCAGAATGAGACATATTTGTTTGTCTGTTTTAATAATGATATTTTTTACCATGTCTTAAATACCTACCAGATTTAAAATGAAGTATTTATTTGACTTGTCGAATTCTCCCCATAAAAACTGAAAGCATAGAGTCAGACAAATTTCTGAAAAAACAACTCACTTTTCCTCCTTATAAAGTTTGTGACAAAAAGGAAAATACTTTAAAAATTGGCCTTCCTTGAAAAAATATGGACATTTATGAAAAATCACGTTAGCTGTATGACCAGTACATAAACTGCTATTTTAAAATTTCTAACAGCTTGCTTTCCATATCAATCCTAAGAGAAGCCCATCGCTTCACTTTCACCTATTAGCCATGTTGTGTCAAGATCCGCAGTTGAACACACAGGTTTTGGCCTTGCTTCCTTCTTCAGTTTAGGATGGCCCCCATCCTCCTGCTGTGCAGCCTTGGCAAGGTCTCCTTTGTTCCTCAAGAATCCTGATTGCCCAAGAAGCCCTTGCCTTGCATCTTTCAACAGATGTCATGTCATAGAGAATAGCAGTTGGACTTTGAGTATATTTTAAAAGTTTAGAGAATAGTAAACTCTGACTTTTCTACTTACCAAACTATTATGCCTTTTATACATTATTGATATCTTAACAATTATACTAATTGTATTAGCGTTGATTTTGTTCAGATTTTTCTTTTAGAAATACCGATTTGAAATAAGTGAGAAAGGATTATATGGGATTGAGCTCCCTATATCAATAAAAGATTAAAAATGGCTTTGGCATGTGCTCCACTCACTGTTGGATAAAATGATGATAAGAACAGCACTAGTCCCTGGGTTCTGGTCAGGTTTATATAAATTATGCATGGAAAATGGTCAAATAATGCCTGACACGTAGCAAGCATTGATAAAAATTAATGTTATTTTGTAACTCTGGAACATTACTGTCCATTATGGTGACTAGTTGTGGCCATTGAATTCCTAAAATGTGGCTAGTCAGAATTAAAACATTAGGTAAATGCAATACACACTGAACTTTGAAGGCTTAATATAAAAAAGTAATCCATCATTAAATTTTCTATTGATTACATGTTAGAATGACAATATTTTGGACATATTGAGTTAAGATATTTTATTAAAAATTAATTCATCTTTTTTCTTTTTACTTTTAGAAATGGGACTACTAGACAATTTTAAAATTACATATATGGCTTACATTGTATTTCTGTGGGACAGTGCCATCTAAGACAACAGCTATGAGACTGTGGCAAGCATCAGTCATGTGGAACGTTTTATAAAACACAGATTGCTGAGTCTTTTGCCCAGAGTTTCTAATTCAGTAGGTCTGGAGAAGGTTCTGAAATTTTGCATCTCTAATGAGTTCTAAGATGATTCTTGACCACAATTGAGAATTTCTGGTCTTGAGACCAAAGTTAATGTTATCATCAGGATCTTTTTAGAAATGCGAAATCTCGGGCACCATCCAGACCTACTTATACAACATGTGCATGTTGTTAAAATTTCCAGGCTATGTGTATGCCCATTGAAATTTGACAGAAATTGGTATGGACTAGTGTCTTTTAGCCTTGCATACATATAAACATTATGTGAAAAAATACCAATACTCTGGGTCCACCCTAAAGAATTTTATCTACTCTGGAGGAAATCTAAGAATCTGCTTATCTAAAATGCTTCCCAGGTGATTCTAACATATAAACAAAAACTGAGAGTACTGTGAACAGTGGGGCCTTCAGAGCAGATGCAGAGAAGGATCTAGGACCAGGCACTTCCTGGTGAGGGGAGATCCTTGGGAATTGTCAAGTGCTGGGAAAACAAGAAGTGCAGATGGTGGAAAAGGCTGAAACCACACAGTAAGGGCCAATCAGTGGGTGCCGTGGTCAGCAGTGAGAGGTTTGGCCAGAGACACTGTGCTCTTGCAGGTCTTACAGAGGTCCCAGCTGCTCCAGGCTTGGAGTTCAAAGGAATACTGCATACACAGAGTGTAGCCTTCATCTCAGAACAAGAATGCTAGACAAGTTATCTTGCTAGAGATTCAGACGGTGAGGAAGAAGACTAGGGCCCAGTTGTAAGTACCTGGTATAAATCAGGAGTGGAGCTAGCTGTCATTTTAACTGAGTGTCTTCAATCCCATAAATACCAGGTCTGCTTTCAGAAACTAGAACAGGAATAATCTTTCAAATAGAAGAAAAAAAATGGATGAAGGCATCAAAAGGCAGATTAGTTTTATGTTTTCTTCTTTCCCTCTTTAGCATACAAGAATTAAGAAGATTCTGAATTAAGTAAGGATCTAATTAACTGATATATATATATAAATGTAGTGCAGTAGTAGTGCTGCTTGCCTCCCATGCCAGTTCAATTTTCAGCACTGCAAAACAACAACAATAACAACAAAAGTGTACACTAAGGTATCACTGTAGAGACCGTTTCCTTCTCTTGGGGCATTTATATCCCAAGAAAGAATCTTATTGATCCAAAATGCTTTCTGACTATCAGAACTGGTGAGAAAGATTCATGTTTTGGAGGAGAGAGGCCTTCTGTTATTCTTTAGTACACCTTTGTTCTACCCTAAATAAGTGAGCATACCAGCTTAAGAGTTTGGCTGACAAATCTCACCAGTTTGTCAAATACTCTTCACTTTGTCACCTGGCCCCAGAGTTTTGTGTAGTTCAGACAGCTTTGTAAGAACAAAATCCTCCCTGCAGCAGAACATCTGGGCTTACATTAATTGCATTTGAAATTCCCACTTCTGGGCTGGAGATGTGACTCAGCCACAGTGCACTTGCTTAACATGCACGGGGCCCTGGGTTCAATACCTCAGCACCAAAAAATAAAACCAAACCAAACAAAAAACACCCAGTTCTACATATGGTAGCCACCTGTAGTTTTACTTCTCCCTTTGTTGGTCAATTGTTTCAGAAACTTATAAAGTGGCATAATGGTTCAAAGCAGAGTCCAGAGCCTGGATTTGCGTCCTGGTTGCATATGTGTGACTATGGGCTGGGAGCTATCTTATTGAGTTGCTGTGATGATTAAAATTGTTATTCGAGAAAACCACAGAAAATCTGGCATATAATAAACACTATACACATGTTGGTTAGAAGCATATATTTGAATAAATATGCAGATTTCTATAGGTGGCTAAATGTAATTAATTTTTGTATATCAAGATGATTTCAAAGGACTTTTATGTGCAAGATTTTTAAAAACAAGTCTTTTGTGAGTTTTTGAGTGTTGTTTAAATTTTTTGCCCCGGAGTACTCAGAATTCTCAATTGATTCCTCATCATTTCCTAACATTTGAGAGGCTCTCAGAAGGAAGGAAGTGAATGTAGTTTTCCCATGGATATTGTTTTCTAGAGTACATTTTTTTCTCCCGGAAGTCCTTTGAAAAGTGAATTGTACTATAGATGTTTGAAGGCTTTTGTAGCCTGTGTCAGTTTAGTAGCGTTGTCTAACATCCCAGGAGAACAA